AACTCATCGAGAAGAGTTCTTACAATACTGAACTTCCAGATTTGTCCTACTGGATGGAGATGATTTGTTAGATCTGACTCAGTAATGACATCACCAGATCACCAACATTGTCCTTCGGGGTTCTAGAGAGTATGTCATTGGGTGCCTGTTTTAGAAGCTCATCTGCTCCAGAGTCATTGAGTGCATAACATGAGTCTTTAAATTTTTTTTTGAGTTGGAGACTTACTCTGTCCCCCAGGCTGGAATACAGTGGCACACTCCTGGCCACTACAGCCTCGACCTCCTGGTCTCAGGCAATCCTTTAGCCACAGGCTTCAAAGTAGCTGGAACTATAGTCGCGCACTACAACACTTGGTTAATTTTTTTGATTTGTTGTAGAGACAAGGTCTTGCCAAGTTGCCCTGGTTGGATTTGAGGCCCCAGCTCAGGCAATCCACTCACCTCGGCGTCCGAAAGTGCTGGGGCTACACCAAGCCTGGCCTGGAGTCTTAATATTCTGATATGCCAGGAGATCATCTGAGTTCGTGGACTTCTCGCATTTCGCATTTGTGAATTCTCTTTTCTCTTACACTCTCCCTCTTTTCTTAAAAGGAGGATTATTGAGGATAGAAAAAGAGGATTATTGAGGACAGAAAACAGTGGGAGAGGACCTGAAGGATTTACCAAACTCTCTCCTTTAATTCAGGAGCATTGGGGGACTTCTTTCTTTCTTTTATCCTTATTTATTTATTTATTCATATATTTATTCCTTTTTACTTTTTACTCTTCTTTCAGGGGGTTTGTTTCTTTGGTACGTGGGTATGGCAATGGCCAGTTTGTCCAACATGTCACTGGTGGATGTGGATTTCCCCAGCAGGGCAAAAAATGTGGGCTCCGCTTGAAACTACTCACAGGGTACATGAAGTGTTTTGCTGCCTCTGCTGACTGAGACGTAGTTCTGCAGCTCAGCAATCAAGTCACCAGGCCTCATTCTTGTACTACAGTTCCCAGCATGCTCCCTGATTCATGCCACATCCTGCTCCTCCCCCAACTTCCGGGGCAGGGAGGCAACTGAACCTCAAAATGCTACAAGAAAAAACATGCTTTTCTTTTTTCTTGCCTCCTTCAGCCCTGTTGGATCACATCTGCTGTCACTGAAGATCAGAAGGGAGGTGACCTGTCGCCTTATCCCATCAGCGATGCTAGTTCAGAAGCTGCCCAATCAGAAAGGAGATTAAAACGAGGTGGCGGCTTCCGGGTTCTGACCGGGTCTTTTGTTTTCTGGGCCTGCGGAAGTGCCGAATCATCTCGGAAACAGTGGCATGTCTTTGCTTCTTCCTTTTTCGCCCTGTGAGATGCAGGTCCGGGGAGTCAGTAAGGAAGACGCTGGGACACCCAGAAGCCGGGAGATGGTGAGTATGGGTGTGGGTGCGAGAGCGAGTGGCAGGACGGACATAGATGACCCGGCTTGGCCGACCGGCCTCCCCCTCACTTCTGATCCTGGACCTGTGCCCTACGGCGGCTCGGCCCCAGTCCCGTCTTCACATTGTGGGTCTGGTTCGGTCCCCAGGGTCCTGTCCCCATGGCGATCTCGCCCTACTGGTGGCTTCCCCAGGCAAACCCGCGCTGCGTATGTGTGGCACCCAGGAGTGTCGTGGGGGGTCTGACCGTCATGGCAGCCCCTGGGGAAAGGGGCTGTGGTCCTGGCCCTGTTCCTCTCTCCTAGAAGGTAAACGGATGCTCCAGCACAGTATTAATGAGTTCTCATGAGCCTACAGCGGATCATGAATCCCTAAGTCCCAGTCAGGTCTTGTGGTCCTGGGGCTCCGGAGAGTCTGGCGGTAAAGCCTTGGAGAAGAGGCAGGGTGAAGCCGGCCACGGACAAGTGCCGGTGGGGGACAGTCCCACAGTCGCCTGATCTGGAATATCCAGGTGGAAATCCCTAGACCAAATCATTAGGGTTGTTTGGGTACTAGCAGTGTGAGGGAAAATGGATGGACAAGGGGTGCAGCTCCGTCAGGGCTGGCAAGCCGGAGGTGCGCGCTTGGAACCCAGAGATCCGAGTAAATTGCAAAGAATTGCAACACACAGAGGTGAGAGAAGAAAAGATTTATTTAGGAAAATTCACCTCCCACAGACAGGGTGTGGGCCTACACCATAGGTGAGTGTGGCCTTGTAGCCCCCCAGAGTCCTGGCTTACATCCTTTTCTTGGAGATGTTGTAGTGACTGCCATGACTTCCTTGTTGACCACCTGTGGATGTCTTGAATATCCTGTGACAAAGAGACCCATTAATGTCTGTCCATATTATTATGGCCCTGGGCGTGACAAGGATTCTAATTCTCCTGCGCCTTTCCAAACGATATCCCTTAGAACTATTGAAGGGTACAGCTCCCATTATCTCCTAGGCATTCCCAGTATGTAGCTTTGGGGGATCCTTGGCTTCCCTGTAGATAGTGCCCGATTTATTGGAAGATCAAATCCCCACCTGCTCTCCTTCTGAGCGGTTATAACTTTTGTAATTACAGGTTTCATGACTTTTACAGTCCTCGCCCAATGCATGATGTCTTAGGTCTTGTAAATCCATTTACTCTAGGCAAACTTGATTGCCACTATGAGATCCCTCAGATACATGGAGGTCTTTTTCTGAAAAGACAAAGTCGGTAAAGTTAATTATACCTAAAGTGTGCACAGCTTCCACTTTCTCATCATTGTGTCAGGGTTTCAGAATAAGATATAAAATGACTTCCCACTCTTGGTCTGTCCTCTCAAGGATCATTGGCGGTTTGTCACCAGGCCCAAAGTTGGTTCTGCCTGGTGGAGCAGCCAAAGTCAAGACAAGGAGTTGGAACAGGGGCTGTGACATTATTTAGAGGACCATTAAAACCGAGAAGATGAGGGGTCAAGACCCCTCTTGGGTTTTGTGTACTTTTTTGGGGTTTTGTCCAGGTCAGTGGTGGGGGAGAGAGAGGGGAGAGGATTGCTTGAGCCCAGAAATTTGAGGCTAACCTGGACAACATAGCACATCCATGTAGCTATAAAAGCTGATACAGTTTATCCAAGAGTGGTCACGCATGTCTGTAGTTTCAGATTCTTGGGAGCCTGAGAAGGAAGAATCTGTTGAGCTCAGGAGGTCAAGATGGTGATAAGCTCTATGGAGACAATTCATGCCTTCCTGGGTTATGGAGTGATACTCAGACTCATAAAATACACTTAATTTAATTTTTAAAAAATAAAGGCATATCTTCATCATGTAGATGGGACTTGTCCAGATAATCTCATCTGACAAGAAATGCCAGAGGTAGTTGTGGCAAAAATGACTGATTCTCAGGTAAATGTGTTCCAGGTCAGGGGCTGTGTCTCTTTTCCTACTGGAATGTCATGATTTTAGAGCATGCAAACCTTGACTGATACTCATCTTTTTTTTTAAGTTGGGTTTTCACTCTGAAAGGGCGATAAAGTCTACATTTTTCTGTTTTGTGTCACAGGAGACAGATTCAAAAACAGTGAGCTCCTGCAAGGAGTGCAAACTGTGAGTTAAATCTTTCCTTTCCACAAATACCTTCCTTGCCAGAAAGACTGGCAATTTCTTTTTTTGTTGTTTGTTTTGAGTTTGAGTCTCACTCTGTCATCCAGACTGGAGTGCAATGGCCACTCCCAGCCACCACAGCCTCGATCTGCTGGACTCCCGTGATCCTTCCGCTTCAACCTTCCAAGTAGCTGGAACTACAGGTGCACGCTACCATGTTCAGCTGATTTTTGATTTATTGTAGAGATGAGGTCTCATCAAGTTGGCCAGGTGGGTCTCGAACCCGCGGGCTCAGGCAGTTCACTCACCTCAGCCTCCCAAAGTGCTGGGATTACAGGCTAAGCCACCAAGCCCGGCTGGCAATTTCTTCTACAGCAATAAATATATGGCCTCACTGGCTTACCTGCCTGATCTAATCCAAGCAGACCAGGACAGGTGACCACCCTTCTGAATTTAACTTTCATGAACATATCTGGCAACCCTCAGCTTGACAATGTTGCCATGTTAGGATCACATGGGGAATAGCTGGGCACAATGGCTCACACCTGTAATTCCAGTAGTTTGGGAGATGAGACAAGAGTATTGCCTGAGCCCCAGAGTTCCAGATGAGCCCGGTCAACTTAACAAGACCTCATTTCAGCAATAAATCAAGCAATTAGCTGGGCATGGTTGCACATGCCTGAAGTTTGACGTGAAAGTTTTGCCTGTGGCCAACAGGTCAAGGCTGCAGTGGCTGTGAGTGTCACTGCACTCCATCCTAGCACAACAAAGAAAACCTATATGGTTATTTTTAACAATGACAACCCAGCAGAAATGATAATGAAAGAAATTGTCTGTGAATGTTCTCTTAAGCAGTAACATCAGAACTCACAACAACAAAAAATCAGGTACCATAGACACCTCCCTTTGTATGGACCACATGGTGCTGATTTAAGCATTTACCCTTTTACAACAGTCGGAAGTTTCTGGTGTTTAGGGATATTGACCACTTGATCTGTTTTTTTCTAGTGGCTTTGTAACATGGTGGTAAACCTGTAATCTACCAGTGTGTTTTTCCAGACCTACACCTCATTATTTACCGAAGTAACAGAAAACTGGAGCCAACCCATATGGCTAAATTTATTCTTGTCCATGGAGAGTTTTATTCTTATTACTAAACTCAGCATTAAAAAATAATTCATTGAAAGTGTTATCGGCTAGGCTCGGGAGGTCTTAGTGAATGGATCATCTGAGTCTGCATGTTCAAGACTAGTTCAGGCTCCTTGGCAAGACCTCCTCTCTACAATAAAAAAAAAAAATAGCTGGGCATGGTAGCACATGCCTGTAGTTCTAGCTACTTGGAAGACTGAGGCAGAAGGATCACTGGAACCCAGCAGGTTGATTCTGGGTTGGCCGTGTGTGTGCCACTGCACTCCTGCCTGGGTGACAGAGTGAGATTCACTCAAAAAACAAATGTAATGGATGCTTTCATACACCTGTGAAACTCAACAATTAATCTATCACACTTTCTGATGAAAATGTATTGACTTCCACAGCTACAAAGAGAGAAATTGTTCCTCAATGTTGTGATGTAACCTTGGGGTGGAGATAGGATCAATGGGGAACTCTACCCCAGACCCTCCCTCCGTTGGCCCTGCCAGTCAGTCGGATCCTCCCCACCACTCTTTTGGGTCCCAAACACATGGCAAAAGGGACTGTTGACAGAGGGCTCAACTGGTGAGGTCACGGATGGGACAAGCCCCATGGTCCTGGCTTAGCCTCACCTACACCGAGGGTACCAGGCCCAGCGGCCGGCGGGGACGTATTCACTGTCAACTGAGGGGGAGGCCGGTCGGTCATCTGAGTCCATCCACTTTCCCTCTGGGGACACCCCCGGCATACTCACCTTCTCCTAGCCTCCGGATATCCCGGCAGCCTCACCAAGGGCTTCCACATCCTGCAGATCACAGGGAGACAGAGACTGAAGCGAAGATACACATGGGTGCCAGAGTACAGGACACTGCTGAAAGGACGACCCAACTGCTCAGGTGCAGGAGACGAAGGCCCCAAAACCGCCCTCTCACTTCCGGCTCCCGTCTGATTGACCAGTTCAGACTTCAGCATCCATTGATTGGAAAAGCCTTCAGGCCCCGCCCTTCTGGTCTTGATTGACAGAAGGTGCAAAACAATGAGAACTCCATAGGCAAAAATGCCTTTAGATTTCTCCTTGCCCCAGAGTCTGAGCAGAAGGGTGGGGGCAGGAGGCTTCTGAACCCCTTTGGGGCATGATGGGAGTTTGTGTCGCTCCTGGTCGGTGGGTCGCTGGACTGTAGGTCGACACCACCTCTCCCAGGACATACTGGGATTATAGTCCTGCAGCTCCGCAACCCACCAACTGGGAGTCATGCAGACGCCAGTGTTCCTCGCAATTCCTGTAAGGCCCCCCCCCACAAGTTACCACCACATTCCGGAGCTGGGAGAAATCTCAACATTTTCTTGCCTCATGCAGCCTGTGTCTGATCGCATGTCCTGTCACTCAAAACCAGATGGCCTGGAATTTTATCCAATCAGGTGATGCTGGGGTTTGAAATGGCCAATCAGACCGGAACTGGAAGTGAGAGGGCAGCTTCCGGGCTATTACTGGACCGTAGTTTCCTCTGTCAGCCTCTCATATCTTCATTTTAGCCTGTTTTGCCCTGTGAAAAGCAGGTCCTGGGAGATTTGTAGGACAGATGCTGCGACCCTCGGAAGGCGGGAGATGGTGAGTGTGTGGGGAGGTTTCCCAGGAGGGGGAGGGGGATGGATCTAGATGACCCGGCTCTTTAGGGACTGGCCTCTCCGTCAGCTCTGAGCCTGGGCACAACCCCACCAGTGACTCAGCCCGGTCCCCTCGGTGTAGGTGAGCCTGGGCCATGACCCTGTGGTCTTGACCCTGCAGCGACATCACCTGCTGAGCACTCTCCGTGCAGCTCACCATCTCCAAGTGTGCTGAACCCGCGAGGGATGTGGACAGCATCCGACCTGCGTGGGGAGCTGGTGAGGGGAAGGGGAGGCTATGATCCTGGCCCACTCCGTCTCTCCTCCCCAGAGTTAAACTGTGGCTCCATCATAACGTTAAGGAGGCCTCTTGGCCAACACGAGATCTTGAGTCCAGAAACCCCAGCCAGGACTCGTGGTGGGGGGATCCCTGAGGGCCTGGGAGGAAAGGCTTTGAGAAGGGGTATGGGGAAGCTGGGGTGGGCAAGTGCTGTTGGGTGACAGTTCTGCAGTGACCTTAACTTAATTATCTAGGTGGAACTCTCCAGGATCTGTCATTAGTGTCATTGGGCATTTGTGTCACCAGGTCCAAATCCTGTTCTTTCGACATAAGTTGTTGGAGTAGGGGTTGTGACTTTATTTAGTAGGGACACTAAAACAAAGGAAATGAGGGGATGGCATCCTAAAGACCCCTCCTGGGTTGTGTGTGCTTTATCAAAATTTTTATCCAGGCTGTGGGTCAGAGAGCTGCTAAGATCAAGAGGTGGCTTAGACTTGCAGACATCTGGGCAATGAGAGGAGTCCTGGAAAGTGGTGAATTATCTTTGTCCTTGGTTCACAGTCTCCTTATTCCTTTATTAAACAAAACAGAGTTAGTGCACATACTCCCACTTTCCCAGAGTTAGTCTGGACAGTTGCATACTGGTGCCAACCTTGTCAGCATTTCAAAATTATTTTAGCTACATGCAAACACACAAAGAAGCCAGAGCCCCCCTATCTAAAATGGAGTTATGTCAAACTTTTGAGAGTTGAAACTATCCCATTTTGCATTGATTAGGTCTAAGATTTATATTATTAAATTAGTAACTCAAAAAATTTATTTTAGTTCGACGACTAGTTTCTGTGCAGTTTTAGACACATCACTGTTCTTGAGGGGCAAAGGCTGAATTGATGTCTGCCCTCTGGATTATCTTGCATTTGTAAAGAAGGAAAACTATCTTAAAGGATAAAGTAGACCCACCTCAGGGAGATGGTGGAAGAACCAAATCACAGAGAACCTCAGGCAAACAGGAGAGCAAATGAGGGCCTCCTAAGAGGGTGGTAAGACTCTAACAAAGGCATATTTTCAAAATGTAGGTGTGACTTGATTAGGTAATCTCACCTGAGAAGAAATCCCAGAGAAGTAGGAGAAAAAAGAAAAAATGACTGCTTCTCAGGTAAATGTGTCCCAGATCAGAAGGAATGTCATGTGTGTACAACTTGCAAACCATGCTGCTGTCCTTGTGATGGTCCTGCCTAATGAGTTTGTTTCAACTATTATTGTTCTTCCTGTGATATTCAATGGGTCTGTCGGACACTGCTCCCTACATAGCCTCTTCTGTTCTCTTCAACCATAGGGCTTAGTTGTCATATACTGTTCTCACCATGAATGCATCACCTGTATTATTAAACATTTTCCCTTGTTTCAGGGGGTCATTGGAAGGCATGGTAACCAAGAATCCCACTGGAGATTGGATAAATCCTCAGATTCTAATGAAGGATAGAAATATGTGTATATATATATGCACACACACAGATATATATATATGTTTTGTTTTTTGGTTGTAGTCTTCTTCTGTTGTCCAGAATGAAATGCACTAGCACACTCATGGCCACCAGAGCCCAGGTAATTTTTTAAATGTATTGTGGAGATGAGGTCTTGCCAACTTGCCCAGGGTGATCTCACACCCGAGGGCTTAGGAAATTATGTTACCACAGTCACCCAAAGTGCTGGGATTATAGGCATGAGCCTCTGCTCTTAGCCATAACATGTACTGTTAAGCTTCTATCTAGTTGCTCCAACAGCTCCATGCAGAACACGGTTAATAAAATGTATATTTAAGCAGGATGGCAGTTACTGCACAAAATATCTTTCAAAAAAAGTCTGAATGAAGAATAATTAGAAGAGACTTGCTCTCTAGAATCCCAACAACCAGAAATATGAGAGATTTCAGAGATTACATGCCATGGGAGATACCTGTAGGCTGATTTCTGCCTAACACGTATTTTCTTGTTATTAAGTTGAGATTATAAATTACTATATTGGATGGGTGTGGTGACTCAGCCTGTAATCCCAGCACTTGGGGAGGCTGCGGCAACAGAATTGCCTGAGCCTGTGTTTTGAGAACAGTTTGAGCATTTGGTGAGACCTCATCTCTACAGTAAATTAGAAAAACTAGCCAGGCATGGTTGCATGCACCTGTAGTTCTAGATATTTGGAAGGTGGAGGTGGAAGGATTGCCTAAGTCCTCCAGATCAAGGCTGCAGTAGTCATGAGCATACCATTGCACTCCAGCCTGGATGAGGAGACTGAGACTCCAACTCAAAAATTAACAATAAATTATTATAACTTTTGCCTAAAAGATCTCAGCATGAATGTTGTGTTCCACCTGTGTGCCTTGACATCTGATACCAGTTTGTCCCAACTACTTGGGATGCTATGGAGGATGGATTCTTTTAGCCAAGGAGATCGAGGCTGCAATAGGCTGTGATTATGCTATGGCACCCTAGTCTGGATAAGAATGAGACAAACCAACTGAAAAAAAAGTGCAGAACCTCAGGCTAAATTCAGGTTTTCTGAATCCAAATTTGCATTTTAACAAGATATTCAATTCATTGTTGTACAAATTAAAACTTGATGAGGACCTTCTGACTCACTAGGAGTTTTCCATCTGAGCAGTATGTGTATTATACTCTGTGTGATGTAAACATAGCAATTAAAAATCTATTTGCCTGTGCTGATGTCCAAATTTATGCTGTTTCACTCAGAAAAATAGAGTCTACATTGGCTGAGATGATTTTATTTCATCCTTTTTTCCCACACAATGCATTAGAGGACATTTCTGTGTTATGAATTTTCTTATTGCATAATAATAGTTGTCAGCTGGACCCTGTTCTTTTCACTCTTGCTTTACCTAGAGGTCATGGTAACTTGGTAAATATGTGTTTTTGTTGTTTTCAGGGGTTGTTGTCATTCAAGGATGTGGCCATAGAATTCTCTCCAGAGGAGTGGGAATGCCTAGACTCCCCTCAGCGAATATTGTACAGGACTGTGATGTTAGAGAACCATAGAAACCTGGTTTTTCTAGGTGAGGAAACTTTCAAAGTACAATTCCTATTTCATACTAAGGATTTTATGTCCTTCCTTTGTATACTGTTTTCTGGGAATTTCTGCTTTGCTTGAATGAGTTTCAGATTCCTACTTTCAAAAAAAGTTGGTAATATGTTAACATAGAAAATAAAAAATGAATGATGTTTCATTTTGACATGAAGCCTTCTCTATTTTAAATTGACCAGTGTCCTCCTAGCTACATTATTGGTAAGTTCAGAAATTTAGTGGCATAGATATCATTGCCCACATCTCATTCCCATTGCTGCCATAAGTTATTGACTCACTAGTACTGAACTAAGAATGCACAAATTTAAGGCCAGTCATAGTGGTTCAGGTATATAATGCCAGCACTTTAGGAAGGTGAGTTGAGAGGACTGCCAGAGCCCATGGACTCAAGAACAGCCTGGGCAACTTGGCAAGACCCCATCTCTACACTAAATCAAAAAATTATAGCCAGGATTGGTCGCTCAGCCTATAATTCTGTGCCTTTGGGTGACTGAGGTGAGTGGATTGTCTGAGCCCACGGGTTCGAGACCCACTTGGGCAACTTGGTGAGACCTCATCTCTACAATAAATAAAAAAATTAGCCAGGTGCAGTAGCGTGCGCCTGTAGTTCCAGCTACTTGGAAGGATGAGGCGGAAGGATCACCAGACCCCAGCAGGTCGAGGCTGCGGTAGCAGGAGTGACCATTGCACTCAAGTCTGGGTGACAGAGTGAGACTCCAGCTCCAAAAAAATGATCTGGGAGTGGTAATGCACACCTCTAGTTCTGGTTACTTGGTAGCTGAGGGAGAAGAATTACCTGAGCCCAACAGGTGAACACTGGGGTGGCCATGAACTTTCCACTGTACTACAGCCTGGGTGACAGAGTGAGACTCCAACTTAGAATGAAAAGAAACCCATAAATTGGAAATTCTATCTAAATGTTCTTAAGGTTTTATTGGGAAACCGTATTTTGGGATTAATTGTCTAGAACCTTGTATAATGTGTTCTCTATTGATCAAATACTAGGTTTGTAATTGAAGAACCCCAGCAAGAGTCATGTGACATTTCTCTAATTAAACAGGACTTGCTGACTCTAAGTCAGACCTCATCATGCATCTGGAGCAAAGGAAAGAGCCCTGGGATGTGAAGAGACATGACATATTAGCCAAACTTCCAGGTAAGTGGAAGTGAATGAAGCAGATGACACAGGTTGAGGAATTAGAGCTTGAAATGTGGTTTGAGAAGGTGGTATGCTCCATTGGAAATGGTTTCTGAGAAGCCTGGGATTCTTTCTCTTGCTATCAAAAAGGGACATCTGTTATTCCATGTTCTGAAATTCTCCAAAAACTCTGCTTCTTCAATGATCTTTAAAGTTTACAGAGGAAATCAAAGTCCACTTAAAAGTTTGTTAGAAACTGCATGATCTGACTACCTTTCTGATGCTTTGGAGATGTGTAAATATTTGTTTATTTATTTGGAAATCCATGTCAACCTATTTTTTATGTTTTCTTTTTGCGTCATGGTTGGAAGTATGTGAGCCGTGATTTTGTTATCTGTTTGAGAAATTTTAAGAACACTCTGGACACATGTTACATGTGTTCAAATTTATGATTTTCTATACTAGGGAGATTTCCAATGATTTTATTGAAGTTCATACTCAATAGTCATACCTAAATACAAATTTTCTGTCTTAATAGATGAAATCCTGATATTTTACTTTTATAGTATAATCTGAGCCTGGTAGTTTTTCTTTATGTCCAAATATTTAAGTATACTATATCGTGTAGAGGATTGGTAAACATATATTAATCTCCTACATGTTACTTTGTATCTTAATAACTCTTATTTTATAATTTTCTTTAGTATGAAGTTTAGGACTGGATTCATATATGCATATATTCAAACACATATGTATGCATGTTTATGTGTGATTAGGTTCTGATTTTTTATACATGTTTTTATTTATACTGACATTTTTTTTACAAAAATGAATAGCCATATGTGGTAAATAATGTAATAATTTGATATACCTATGCAGTGTGAAATGATGATTGCAATTATATTGATGAACATATCAACCATCTTACCTAGTTGCCATTTTTATGTTTTATAAGGACAATACATAATGTCTTCTATTTTAGCAAATTTTCTAAGCATATGAGATGTCATTATTTATTTATTTATTTATTTATTTATTTTTGAGGTGGACTCTCACTCTGTCACCCAGACTGGGGTACAGTGGCCACTCTGGGCCACTGCAGCCTCAAGCTGCTGGACTCTGGTGATTCTTCTGCCTCAGCCTTCCAAGTAGCTGGAACTACAGGCACGTGCTACCAAGCCCGGCTTATTTTGATTTATTGTAGAGATGAGGTCTCGCCAAGTTGCCCAGACGAGTCTCAAACACGTGGGCTCAGGCAATCCACTCACCTCAGACTCCCAAAGGCTTGGGATTACAGGCTGAGCCACTGAGATGTCTTTATTAACGATAAGTCACTATGGTACACATTAGTTCTCTAAAACTAAGTTATAACTCAAATTTTGTAACCATTGAAAAACATCTGCATTTTCCAACCTGTAGGCCCTGGTGACCACATTGTACTTTCCTCCTCTATGAGTGTACATACTTCCTCACAGGAGTGAGATCATACAGGATTTTATTTTCCTGAATTGGAGTTGCACTCTGTCACCCATTCTGGAGTGCAGTGGCATGCTAATGACCACCACAGCCTCATTGCTGGGCTCAGGAGATCCTTCCATATCAGCCTTTCAAGTAACTGGAACTACAAGCATGTGCTGCCACACCAAGCTTTTTTTTTGCATTTGTCATAGACTCGAGGTCTCACCTAGGTGCCCATACTGATCTTGAAACCCTGAGCTCGGGCAATCCTGTCACCTCAGTCTCCCGATGTGATGGGTTTACAGTCTTGAGCCACTGTACCTGTTCTCACACAGTATTTGTGTGTGTGTGTGTGCCTGGCTCACTTCAGTTAACGTAGTGTCTTACAATGTCATCCATGAAGTTGAAATTGCAGAATTCTGTAAAAATGTTTTTGGTTGAATCATATGCCATTGTGTATATATATGTTGTCTGTGTGTGTGTGTCTGTGTGTGTGTGTGTTATTTTCTTTTTTTTTTGGGTTGGAGTCTCACTTTGTCACCCAGACTGGAGTGCAGAGGCTGCTCCCAGCCACCACAGCCTCACCTGCTGGACTCTGGCGATCCTTCCACCTCAGCCTTCCAAGTAGCTGGAACTACAGGCATGCACTACCACACCCGGCTAGTTTTTGATTTATTGTAGAGATGAGGTCTCGCCAAGTTGCCCAGGTGGGTCTCGAACCCGCAGGCTCAGGCAATGTTGTTTTCTTAATCGACATAAATTCCACAAATATTTAGGTTGTTTTCAAGCTTGGCCATCTTGACAAATGCTACAATGCCCATAGGGGTTGGAGACATCTTTTTGATATTGATTTTATTTCCTTTGGCTATATACCCAGAAAAGCAATTTCTGTACTATGTGGCAGTTTTTATCTATCTATCTATTTGAGTTGGAGTCTCACTCTGTCATCTAGACTGGAGTACAGTGGCTGTTCCCAGCCACTGCAGCCTCGACCTGCTGGGCTCCAGCAATCCTTCCTCCTCATACTTTCAAGTACCTGGAACTACAGGCGTGGACTACCATGCCTGGTTAATTAATTAATTAATTAATTAACTTATTTATTTATTTATTTATTTATTGTAGAGATGAGGTCTGACTAAGTTGCCCAGGCTGGTCTCAAACCCACGGGCTCAGGCAATCCACTCACCTCAGTCTTCTAAAGCACTGGGATTACAGACTGAGTCACCAAGCCCGGCTTGCCTTTTTATTTTTAAAAGAATGTTGATAATAATTTTTGTATGACTCTACCAATTTTAAACTCACCAAGAGTATACAGGATTTCTTTTTCTTCACATCCTTATCAAAAGTTCTCTCTAGGCCAGGCTCAGTGGCTCAGCCTGTAATCTCAGCACTTTGGGAGGCCAAGGTGAGTGGATTGCCTTAGCCCGTGGGTTCGAGACCCACCTGGGCA